AACTATGTATTACTATACATCTGCAACAAATTTTTACACTGGGTCTCAATTTGAAAAATGCAATATTTCAGTAGAACCTCCCCTTCAAGAGACACGACTTGTATGCTGATAGATCGGAGAATGATTATTCGCCAAGGGCGGATCCAGGACGGGTTCAGGGGGGCGATGCATTAGGTATGTCCTGGGCTCGCCACACACCAAAATTTAGCTTTCTATCTCAATCTGTTTGGTCATTTCAGACAAAAAACACTTCAAAACGGCAGAGAAAAGACAACTTTATAGGTACTTTCAACTTTTTGTCAAGTTTCATGCCGTTTTCTATGTTTTTGAGGGTGCTGATGACGAAATTAGAACCCATTCGGACCCCCGACCCAAAGTTAAGGCGGGACCCCGGTGACCGTTCACCCGCGACGGCTAAAGGAACTTAAAAAGTGTATTGACGGGAGTCTCCTTTTGCGAATACTCCTTGCCATTTTCGTTCTGGTAATGTAGCACTTTGCCGAGAGATGTCACCACAGTCAGGTACTTCCAAAAAATAAAAGGGTCCTAGTTCTGGGTGGAAATCCCTATACCTGCCGTGCATTCTGGCCAGTGACGGACAGCGCGGTGCGTTTTGGCAGTGTCGATGGCCAGACAGTGCGGCGACAGTGCGGCGCGGCCGGTGCAGCCCGGGCCACGCCGTGCGCTCAAACAGATGTCATTGTCCGTCTCTGTCTCACCCGCACAGTGCAAGCGAGACGGCCGAGGCGGGGCATGGAGGGGGAAGCAGCGGCCCACTGGCGAGGCGCGCGGCTCACCCTGGAGTCCGGCGCGCTCCAGTTTCCAAATTTAAAATTTGAATGTGACTTCTGAGTTGTGGCGGTTGGGTACTATCAAATTCCTTTTTCTTTTACGGTCATTTTGACACCAGTTGAACAACGATTTGTAATCGGGGATAAAATTTCTCTTACGACCTTCAAATCCTCGCATCAGACAGCGTGGGTGGAACGTGTCACCCCTTTCCACTCACGAGGCCCTTTTTGCCAAATTCTGGCCAGTGCGACGCGTGCAAGTCTGGGGAGCTCGTTCGTGGCCTGGCTGGATCCAAGTCCGAGGCGGCCGGCTCGCTCTCAGGTCCTCGTCTGCGGCTCCGGCTTAGCGCGGGGGGAGAGGGGGGGGGGGACGCGGCGCGAACAATGCCCGGCTGCAGGTCAGCTGTCAGTCATAAATGTGTCGCCCCGCCTCCACCGGCCTGCACGGAGGATCCGATACTTTCCGCCGCGCCACCTTCCACAGCCACAGCACCGCAAAACGACCGCCAAGTTCAAAACAAGGAAAATGCGGCAAAAACAGGGTCTCAGCAGATCAACTCGATCTCAAGAAGGGCTGGGCCTAGAAAAAAGTGGCTTACAGATTTCGAAAGGGGAGGCCAGGGCCTAGGTCAACATGTATATGGCGATTCTTGAAACAAACAGCAAGTGTCCGAAATGACTGGCTGAACATTGGTCAAAAATTGGACACCTTTCGACACCCGATTTTAAGGCTAAAATTTTGTGACACATGTTTCGCGCATACCTCTTGACCTAGATCCTGACTCCCCTTTCGAATTCTGTAACTGGTTTTTTTCTAGGACCAGTGGTTCTTTGGATCGAGTTGATCTAGTTTTGAGTTTTTGAAAGTTCAATAACTTTGTTCAAAATTGAGCCAGCTAAAAATTTTTTGTGGCGCGTGTCCTTATTATGTCCTGAACCTGTGTGCCAATTTTCATCCCGATCCGATCCCTTCAAGTTTCACCCCCGTCCCGCCTTAAGTCCCATTAGTGTACATTTTGATGACCAAATGCAATTTTTTGAGGGGATCACGCCCATTTCTACGGTCTGTCTAGCAAAGCAGCCTGCCGAAGGCAGGCTAGCGCTGCAGGCCAAGGTAAGCTGTATACGCCAGGCGTGGAGTGTCGAAACATCACCAATGAAATTTGATCCAATTAAACAAGGTAGGTTTACGCCAGACTGCGTCTTGTCGTAACAGGCTTCGCGATGTCTCGCGGCCTGTTCCACCAATCCGCGCCTGGCGTACCTACCTACCTTGGCCTGCGGCGCTAGCCTGCCTTCGGCAGGCATTAGCTTGTCCGTCGGCGGTTGCTTCTTACTTGTTGCATGGTGGGGGGCCCCCTTATTCTAGATAGAGTTCCTTCATCTACAGATAACACGATCTTGACCCTTGTAACTTTTTAACTCGTCGAAGCTGGGGGCTCCGCCCCCCGAGACCCCCTTTCTTCAAGACAGAATTGATCTGCCTCCAGGAAACTCGATTTTTCGCCGTTTTAAAGGTGTTTTCGCCTATAAAACAGAACCACGTGAGCTAGGATAGTGAGATTTCGCGTGTGCCGAGCCAAGAACACCTAACAAGCCCGCAAAATCTCAGCCAGATCGGCCGAGCCGTTCAGGAGGAGTAGTGTACACACACACACACAGACAGACAGACAGACAGACAGACAGAAAAGTTTTTCAACCCACTGGAGTAACAGGCTTCGCTATCGCTCAGCCAATGATTTAAATGAGGACAGATCACCAGGAAGGTTACCAAAGGAAGAATAACTCCAAAACCTGGTAAATACCGTAGAACGGGTAATATGAGACAAATTTCGAGGTTTATTTGTGAATTTCCCCCTTCCAATTTCAATTTGAGGTACTGACAAGGAACCTATTCAGGGGGTACAGTCAGATTACGACCAAACTTTTTTTTTTCGTAAGAATAACAATAAGATTAAGAATGCACCCGAAAGTTGGTGCCAAGATATATATCTACACCCTTTACCAATTTTTAAAACGTAAAAAAGGGGTAAAATAAGCTTTTTTCATTGTATGGGTCATTTTCGGACATCGAACCGGAAAATTTGAAGTCGACTTTTTTGTCATTTCCTTCATTGTTTGGTCCCCTTGAGACGAAAATGAGAGAAAATTTCGGTCTGTTTCATATATTATCATATTTTGCACAAATTTGGTGCGACTGCCCAATTACGACTGAAAATCTCGTTGCATGTAAAATCATGGGCCATTTTACCCCTTTTTTCGGTTTAAAAAAGTCAGGAGGGGTGTGGATATGTATCTTGGCACCAACTTTGGGGTGCATTCTTAATCTTAATGTTTATTCTTACGAAAAAAAAAGTTTGATCGAAATCTGAGTGTACCCCCTGAATAGGTTCCCTTGTGAGGTGTTCATCACTTGTTCATTGACCCTTTGGCTACACTCCCACCAAATTTCAGATTTTTAGGTGCAGTAGGGACCTTTCAATAACCCTCCGAATGCCGTCCCATCCCGCGTGGAAGGATCTGTAGTTGAGACCACAGTGGAAAATATAGATTTTTTGTAAAAGTAAACTTTACTTTAAAATAACTTTTTTTATACTTAGAATGCTTTTAATGTATTCTATTATTGCAGTGGAAGTGTAAAAACTGCAGTTGAAGTGTAAAAAACTAAAGTTAAACTGCAAAAAAACTACCAGTTATTTCGGACAACTATAGTTTTAGACCCCAGTTTGTCCCAGTTGACTATATAGTTCAAAGTACAGTTTTACTGTAGTTTATTTACACAGGTAGACTTGCTTTAAAAAAGAAAAGAGACTGCAGTTTGAATTTTGCGGTCAAAATTTAAGAAAAATAATTTTGGAGCCCTGTTTTGAGGGGACTCTTCCTCCCTCCCACCCCATGGGTAACAGAAGTTGTGTTGATTGTGTTTCTTGGGTGAATGTTGCCGGGAGTTGAACCTCGGACCCATCAGTTGCGAAGCAGAGGCCTTGACCACTGCTCCACTTTTTTTTTTTTTTTTTTTTTTTTTTGAAAACATCACATCAACTTCCATGTGGGAAAGGGCTTGGCCACTCGACCACATGGAAAGGCCTCAGATGCGCCCGTCAGGCCGCGCTGGCCGAGCCGAGTTGGTAGGGATGACTCCGCGACAACTAACCAGAGGCAAAACGGGGACAGCTAACCAGAGTTGACTGTAGTTTTCAAGAAAAAAAAATCACAGTTTTTGAACATTTTTTAAAATTTATTTATTTACCTTTTCTTTTAAAACTGTTGCAGATGAAAAGCCCACTCCAGTCAATTCTATGACACTACTAGGGATAAGTCTGGCTTATTTTTTTTCCCACAGATCTGAGCAAGTATGCGAACAAAGCCCTACGAGAACCAAAATTTTAAACGTTTCTACTAAATTTCCAAAAAAGTGTCCAAAATCACTTCACTTTATGTCAAAATGAAGCTTACTCAATTATCTAAAAGGGTTTTAATACAGAAATAAATAAACCTTAACCCTTAACACCAAATTACAAAGTGCTTTTAATATGTATGAGCCCCTTATGTCTGTCCGTTTGTGATGACCTAATCTAGGGCCTACACTACGTTCTTGTTCGCTTAAAATCATGCGTGGGTGGTTTCCATCGAAACGTACATCTCGGAAACGTAACCTAGTAGCAAGCTTTCTGCCGAATCCATAAATTGACTTACGTGCTACTGTGTATTGAAAACGAAAGCCAAGGATAAAACATGGACGTTAGTATGAAAACGGGTTCACGGGTAGAAGTTTGTCTTGAATCCGCACTAGTAGATAGGATTATTCTCTAAGAGGCCTTTAATGTTTCAGTCTTGGCCTACGGCACGAGATAACATCGGGTCTCAGCCGAGTACGTGATGCCAAAACCTAAGTTCAGATTCATTCGTCCAACGTTCTGCAAGGCACACGGCCTTCCATCGATAAACTTCAGTTCAACGAAGTGAGTGCCACTCAGGCACCAGGCGCCATGGCTATTCTTCCGAACTTGTACACAAGTCGCTTAGGATGAGGTTCGAATGCCTCGTTCTTGTAGGTCCTAAACAAGCGAATAAAAAACAACAGGTTAAAGACAAAGAACAAATAAAAACCCAAATTGAGGTAGCGTTGTAACTCTAATTCGTTTTGGGCCACTCGAGAGGTTGCTGATGCTAAGCATGACCAAATGTTAGTGACTTTTAGCTCAAGTGTCAACAAAATGGTCCTTTCTCGTTTTCAGAATCCCTATCAGCTGAATTGTAAACATGTTGGTCCAGTTGGTCCTTTGGTCCAGTCCTGGATGAAACAAGGCGCGAGCTATTGCCGAGGCCGAAGGTCTTAAACTGCAGGAAGAAGTGTGAATAGTACAACAAAAGTACAACAAAAACTATACCCCAAAAGTACAACGGCGATTGTAGAAAGTACAACGAGAATTTGTACAAACCACAACGAGGCCTGGGCTGCACAGCACTTGGCATGCTGGTCCCATTGTACTTTGTACAATAAAAGTTGTTCTTTGAAAGTACAATAAATTCCCAATAAAAAAATTGCCAGAAATTTGTGTACTTTTGTTGTGGTTCTTTTGTTGTGGTTTTTTCTTGCAGTGTAGGGGACCAAGCACCTTGCCAATGCATGTGTGGCCTATGCCGCCACCTTATTTGCCATGCAATGCAACCACAAAGGTGTATGGACGTATCTATCTTGTACTGCATTATAGTGACCAAAAGTTTGTCAAAACTTAAGCGTCCAAGGCGCCTTGAAATAAGCCTACTTTAGGTGTCTCCTAGCGAGGCACCATAGCGCTACAAAAACTGAGGTAAGAGCAGCATTGACTACACTCAAAGCCATGCAACGTAAGCAGCATGTACTGTATACATGGCGAGTACAGCGCATTGGCTTTAGCATACCATATTAAGAGGATACTCTGCATACAATGTATGTTAACCTACTCATGGTGCGGGTCATCTTCTCATAATTCATGGCCTGATTGCCCTTGTGCTGGCCCCACATCTCAGCCACCCGATGCCCGTGCACGAAACAGAAAACCCCGTTTTCCTTGTCCTCCCAGCGGATGACCGCTGGGCTGTACTGCGCATCATTCAGTAGACGCAACAGAAACTGCCACAAGCGTCCTGCTGGAGCCGCCTGCCGTGCGCGGCCGTTGGGGCGGCGCCCTGAGTTGGGATTGGTGGAGCGCTTCTGACGACCGCCGCGCCGTCGTGGTGGTGCTTCTGAAGAACATGTTGAGTCCTCCGAGATGGTCCGGGTCCTCAGGGTACCGCGGGCCTCTGCGGGCGCCGCCGCTTCTGTGTGGGCAGTGTATGCGTTAGTTCCGTTGCCAAGGGACAGCTTGCAGTAGGCATATCACGGTCTTGGATTAAATTTACTTTCTAGATGCTACAATACTTAGTATTTTTAGCCTATATAAGGTGTCATACGAGGAATCATTTCGTAAATAAATTACGAGGTATTTTCTTTGTAAGCTTATGTATTCTCCAAATATTTTGTTAAAACGAGCTACTTTTCTTTGTAAGGCCTAAAACAGTTTATAAGGTTTTCAGAGTGTACTGCGAATGAAGTTTGACTGGTGATTTTAATCGGAAGTAAAACGGTGCTGTTACTTTGCACGAAAAACTTTTTGCTCTCCTGAGAACTGCTACTTTGTTTCTAAAATAACGAACTTAAAAGGAAATAAAAGAAGTTGGTTTCAACTGAAAATAGTATGCACACCACAAACCTAACTCTCTACTAAGTACACACTTACAAAATGCATGCTTGCAAGTACACTCTTACAAACGCATGCGTGGCCAAGTACACACTTACAAATACATGCTTGTCAAGTACACACTCTCAAACGCATGCTTGGCGCATGCTAAGAATAGGCGTTTGTAAGTATGTGCTTGACAAGCATGCATTTGTAAGTGTGTACTTGGCCAAGCATGCGTTTGTAAGTGTGTACTTGCAAGCATGCATTTGTAAGTGTGTGAGACACTGAAAAAACAATGTCCTGTCAATGCCGTTAATTTATTACCAGTTTTCACTGTAGGTCAGTTCACAGCGTTTACTGTGATCTGCTCACGCGATTCACTGTGATCTTGTTCGCGGTGTTCACTGTGGTCTGGTCCACAGTAAAAACTGTGAGTTTGACGCCGCTGAGCACCGAAGTACTGCAAATCAGGCTCCAATTCACGGCGTTTACTGTGGCCAGTTCACAGTGAACACTGTGACCGAGATCACAGTGAACGCCGTGAACTAGTTCACAGCAAACGCCGTGAATTGCATAACAGCAAACATTGGTAATAAATTAACGGCATTGACAGGACATTTCTTGTACAGTGGAGTTTGGTTTGCAGTGCACATACACAGTCTATTCGAATGCATGAGGGGGCATTGGGCTTCTCGAGCAATGCGAAAGTAATACGGTACAAGTAGGCCAACAAAAACGGGTTTAAACGCATTGTACTCGAACTCAGCGTTTGTATTGTCAGTGAGTGAAGGGCTAAAAAAAGTTACTGGATTTCTCACGACAGCAGAATATACGGTCAATTACCTAGCGGTAGGAGACGGCCTGTTGCAGCCGTGCTGTTTGTGATTGATGCAGAAGTCATGTTTCCGGAATCCCATGACTGCAACAAAACATACGCCTCGCGTCAACGCACAGCCCTTGTTTTCCAGGGTTTACGAAAAGTTGGAGCAAAGCACAATAAAATTCCTTAGAAACACAGGGCGAATCCAGATCAACTTGAACGGGGTTTGACCCCGACCCCCTCAGAACTTGCTCCAAACAGTCTTAAATCATTGGTCTATACCTAAATTCACCCCCCAAAAAATTTGGTTGAAAAATATTAACATTTGGCTGAGCTGTGGCACTTTTTGTTTTTTGGTCAATTTTAGTGAAATTAGTACAATGAAAATTTGAAAGAACAATTTTTTCTCGAAATGGGGACTTTTGAGGCCTGATTTGTTTGATATGAGTTGTCTTATGATAGACCAATGCAATTCCGGTCATAGACGCCACCTCACTCAATTTGCACTGAAAGCTTAAGAATTTCTAGTAATTTTACCTAAAAATCGAAATATAAAACCTTGCCCTACCTTTCAAAATTCATTTCTATGCCCAACAACGATTAAACAAGCGTGGGAAGTATTAAAAAACAACCCTCTCATTCCAGGACCACGACATCACGTTGATACTAACGTGACACAATGGCACGTTCGTTTGAGCATTGTGTCACACACACTTAAATGTGAACAAGCTAATTTTTGGCCGATTCACATCCAAACAATGAACACAATGCTCAAACGAACGTCAGTCTCTCACCATTTAGTGCGAACCACGATATCTCACGCTTACAAGTGTGAGGCACGCGTCAAGGGGGAAATCACTTGTGTAATGGTGGTCGAAGGGGTCTGTAATAGCCCTGTAATGGCCCTGTAAGGTAATACCGATGTAATGGCTGTAATATTGGTGTAATGCCTGTAATGGTCCTGTAATGCCTGTAATAGGTGTGTATAGGTGTAATATGTGGGAAGAAAAATACAGAAAAGACTAAAAAATTCGCGAAAGTCAGCGAAAAAGTCATTTGGCTGCAATAAAAGTAATACCCAACGTCCGGATCGACCCGAAAGCAAGCCGAAAGTGCATGTGGGGGTGGGGGAGGAGGCGGGACTCTAGTGGGGGCAGGCGAGATAGTCAGGGCTGTAAGCGACAGATTTGGAACCAACCTTGCACTTTCTGACCCGGTCTGGCGCTTTGCACGGTGTTCTAGAGACCCAAAATAACGATTTTAGAGTTGGAGGCACTCTGGGAAACGCTGCAGGAACCGCTGGGAAGCGAAAATCTACTTTTTGTAGGAAATATTCGTATGATTCGCCTACAATTTCCCGAAATGGCCGCTGCATGCGTATATCTCGTCATATGTGGACCCTTTTCTGTCTTTTTGGCTTGACAAATTCTGCTTCATCAATCGACTTCAGTAACCAAGACGTAGAAGAGTGTCATTATGTCATTGAGGAAATATCTTTGACTAATGGATCACCAAATTAGCTACAATGTCTTTGAGGTGCCTGAAAGTTCGAAGTCATTTCTCTTGATGTGGTGGGTTGGGTGAGCTTGTTTTTCTGGGGCCGAACACTTATCGAAACTGACACAGTTGGCACGAAGCGCACCCTTAGAGAAGTATTATAATGTTTTTGCTGCGCGAGGATATTGTTATCACCTTTCTGGTGTGGTAAGGGTGAACTCTTCAATTTTACTTTGATGAAAGACGCCCATGTCTGTTGCCACTTTTTTATGAAATCATTTGACCAAGTTTGGTAACGGCAACTCTTTGGTTCAGAAACTATACAAGTGCGTACTGTCGCAAGGTGGAGAGAAAAACAGTAAAAATCTTTTATCCTTCTGAAGGATGGCACACGGCTTTGCACACGGCCAATCCAAGTGTGAGACTATAGGTGGAGACATTTTTCTCACGCTACATGTGTGAGCCACGTTTGTCTCACGCTGGAAAGTGTGAGACATCGATGTCTTACACTTGCAAGTGTGAGACACGGTTTGTCCTACACTTGCAGGCGCTGGACCCGTGGCATTGAACCACAAATCTAGCATAGGCAGCAAGTGTGGGACAAGTTGTGTCCCACACTTGGAAGTGTCCGACTTCGTTGTCCAACACTTGCAGGCGTGAGACAAACGTTGCTCACACTTGCAAGCGTGAGACGAACGTGGCTCACACTTGTAAGCGTGAGACAAAATGTCCCACACCTACAAGTGTGAGACTGTCTCACACTTGGATTGGCAGTGCCAAATTGACGAGGCCGGGAAATAATGCAGTTTTCGTTGGCCCGCCTTCTATTTTAAAATAAGGGGGAGGGCCTATGCATTTGCCTTTGTGTCTGTGTGTTGTTGTTGTTGGCGTCGTGTACAAGGAAGGAGTTGAGCTAGAGTAAACCGATTTGGAGGGTAATCAGAGTACCGTCCAAACACATAATCCGGTGGTGCAAATCCAGTCCGGGTCGCACAAGGGCTGCTGCAGGTTCATCATGGTTTACATGAGCGGGAGGGGGATTTCCGCCCTTATTGGTGCTAGCAAGTCACATAGGGGTATTTTTGGAATCGGGGCGACGAGACAAGATGAATGGACCTGGTCCCGACCCCATCGGCCGCTTTTACAAGTTGGCCAGATCAGGATCTTCAAAAAAGGGGGACGACCGACTAAAAAAAATTATTGCAGATTTCGATTGGTCTCAGCAAGACCTTTTCAACGAGGGGTCGGAAAGGGGGTCCAGGAGCCCGACTTCGTCTATAAGTCACATCAGGATCTTGAAAAAAGGGGGTCGACCGACTGAAAATTTTTACTAAGTTTTGGATAGGTCTTGGCAAGACCTCTTCAACGAGGGTCGGAAAGGGGGTCCAGGAGCCCGCCTTCATGAGTTATGGGAAAAAGTGCGACGGACTCGTTTTGCGCTCCTGCTGTGCCTCTATTGCAAGGAGTTGCAGTAGCATGGCAAATATGGGTATTTCGGAATGAGGGCTAAGAGACAAATGAAATGGGCATATTCTAAGGACAGTTGGAGTAAGGACTATTGCATATTGTGAATAGAAGGGCGGGCCTAAGTCACGATGGTACATCGATAACTTTGCTTTACCCGCTCACGGTGTGTGTGTGATGTGAGTGGGCGAAGGCCCGGGCCTTCGACTGGCCAAGTGGGTCTGATGCGAGGGCCGAAGGCCCGAGAAAAGGCCGCCTGCAGCCCAAGCTGGGCTGGCCCCTGTCGAACCGAGTTGCCGGCGCAGCGAAGCGGAGCTGGCAACTCGGTTCGACGGAAGGGCGGGCTTGTTTATTTTGCTGACAGCTTGTAAGTACAGTTGTTTTTTTTTTTTTTCATTCCGTAGCAGACAAAACCCATTCGACCATGGGTTCTGATCCATTTCCATTTAATCCTGGATGGGTTAGGACCCATTGAGACCCAGCTCTTTGGGTTCGCTTAAGAAACGCCTGCTAGGCTTGGCAAAAGTGTGATGCAAGGTAGGCAAATCCGCTACCCACCGACCAATTAGGGGTAACTTGTAAACTACTGCAAGACCACCACCATTGTGTTAAGCGCCGAAAGTTACGTTTCTGACGACCATCACGGTTGACAAACCTTCTTTGAAAAAGAAATAATGACAAGCCTTGTCCGAGTTTGGACACTTTGTAATGGTTAGACCCGTTATGGGTGCAATCCATACAATGAGTACTTTTCAGACACCCATTACATGGGTTACGGGTTGCACCCGTAAGAATGGGTTGGACTAAATTAAATGGGTGCATGAAAAGTGCCCATGTAAATGGATTTCGGAAATGGGTTTGTTTTTGCCAACCGTTCGACAGAATGTGCAAATGGTAAAATGTTTGCTTGGTACACCGGTGTGTGTGCCGTTACAAGGACACTTCCATAGTTGACGAAGACAAGTACGGATCTCTGGGAGCGCGTAGGTTCCAAGCGTTTTTTTTTTCAAGAGCGCGATGCAAGTATCTATGCTTTCCAAGCGCTTTCCCATAGAATGTGTATCTCTTCAAAACGACATGCGTACATTGTATGCTCTAGCTGGAGCATGCCTGCAAGCACGCACGAGCAAGTGCATACCTGCCATGTACACTAGGGTGGGCCGTGAAACACGATTTTTCGATATCGCAAACGTAATAGCGCGCCAAAGTTACTTCATGGCATTACAAAACTCAACGCGATCTGGGGCAGGTCTGTAACTTAAAGCTTGACCCTCGCGCATCGACGTTGAAAATTCGAAAATTCGACTTTACGGGTTTTTCTAAAAACATCCATAGAAACTGAACCAGATGTCCAAATGATGTTGCAAGACGGAAATGGAAACGTCTGATCATGCTTTATCAGTTAAAGACCACCGGGACCCTCTCCGAGCAGTAGGGGACCGCTGGGAGAAAATACAAAATTACAATTTTTTTCGTTTTTTACAAAATGCAAAAATTGCCTTCAGGGTTTGATACGGCCATCCTAACGTCACCGTAGCCGAACCATACCCCGAATCATCTTCTCTAAGGGCCCCTTTCCCGTTTTAAGCGCACGGGGTACTCCGGGATCCGTTCACACGTTAGGATTTGGACGCCAAAAACACATGTTTACTAAAAATGCAAATTATCGGTACTCAGGGCACTGTAGGGCACTCGTCCCGTCCGTATGAACTGCAGTGACTCAGAATCGATTACTAGATGGTGTCTTTGCGTCGCAGGAACCCACCAGTATATAGACAATCGGACGAAGAGACGTTAGAACGCTATTTTACTGTAAATCTCGTTAATCTAGGTTTAAAACGTATTTGGCTCGTCTGGATTAACGACAGAAGGTCGCTGCACGTTTATACAGGTTATTCTTATCCATCGCATAGGTTGTAGGTGCCTGTGACGCAAAGACACCATCTAGTATCGATTTTGAGTCAATACAGTTCATACGGACGAGACGAGTGCCCTGAGTACCGATAATTTGCATTTTTAGTAAACATGTATTATGGCGTCCAAATCCTAACGTGTGAACGGATCCGGAGTACCCCGTGCGCTTAAAACGGGAAAGGGGCCCTTAGAGAAGATGATTCGGGGTATGGTTCGGGTACGGTGACGTCAGGATGGCCGTATCGAACC